AAGCTAGTTTTCCTATCAAAAATGACAAATATACATCGCAAAAACATAGACAGTTATTAAGAGAAGAATAACCTTGGATTTGGGCCAAGAGATTTGTGACTAACAGGAAGTAAACCTGCTAAATAGATAAATAGGCATTGCATATTACAAACTAGTGGAAAAAACTCTGCAATGCCTCACAAATGACATACAGTTTTACAAATGTCACCCTAGTAGAAGTGTTGGACAGAATATTTGTATTATTATCTCCCAAGATTTACCACAGGTAAGGTTTTCATGAATATGTGCAATACTTTGCAAAGATATAACTTTAATCAGAACACACACATCCATGCTACTATAATCTTAGGTTAACCTGCACCATATATTATTACCTGATTCCAAATTCAGATATGTGGTAATAGAAGTAAATTATACCACATATTACAAATTAATTCTTTTACCATTTTGTAGGAAATAATCCTGAAGCGAGCAGCTGATATTGCAGAAGCATTATACAGTGTGCCACGCAATCACAATCAGATTCCTACACTTGCCAACACTCCAGCTCATACAGGCATGATGGGAGTAAATTCATTTAGCAGCCAGCTAGCAGTTAATGTTTCAGAAACATCACAAGCTAATGACCAAGGTATGTGAAGAATTAATTTTAATTTTAAGAGCTATGCATCCAAGATATTGGATAAGTTTATCACTGTATTCCACTACCTTCCTTCATACATTCAGTAATGCAGTGGAGTAGTCATATACTCCCTCATAACTGATTTAAAAAAGTAATTAAACACCAAAGCTAACAATAACTAAATTTGTAAATTCACAGAAGTGCAAATGGAAAGTCAATATTCTTACCTGGTAAAGACCCTCATACACATGCACTTTTGAATTTTGTTGCACTTCCAGTTGACAAGCCACTGCCAGTCCCTACCTGTTGGAACACATACTATTTGGGTGATGAATTCTTAATTGGAAAGACAGCAAAAATTAGCACAGATGCAAAGTTTGTGGGTGGGCTCGGTTGCTGGATCACAACTAACATGAATGACAGTCATCAATTGAACATTAATATTCCAATACAATATGTGTTAACCAATTGTGGGTAGTAGTAATGTTAGGATTGTTACAGAAACTTGATAATTAAATGAAAAACAAAGTTAGATATTAATGAAAATGATCTAAACGTGGTAAATATGTTCTTCTGTATTAATGCTCATAATATATCTGACTGATCCTGAAAGAATAAATATTTTGGACTGGCTCAAATGTAATACTAAATCATAATATAATACTAAGAAAATAAGACTAGCCTCCCCTGGGGTTATGTCCTCCAACTTGGGAGAAGAAATTTGGAGGTTTTTACTTGTTTCATTGTCTGGACTAAGACAAAGTGTTTAGTCTTAACTGTGGTTAGTAAAAACAAGCCATTTTAAGTCATAGTTAATGAGAGATTGTGATGTCTTCATCGCAGCTATATTGGAGGAAATGAAAAAGGAATGCATAAGCCTTGCACGGAGGCTAGGTTTGTTCTTGCAGTGCTAAACCAGGGGTGGGGAACTGGTTTTGGCCTGAGGGTTCCTTCCTAGTTTGGACTAGTTCTCAGGCCCATATTCTAGCAGTCAGAATAGAACAACTTGGACAGCAAGTCTACTCAGAAATAAGTAGGACAAGGCTTAGAAGACAGCATACTCAGCAGCTTACTTGACTGGCCCTGCCATCTCTGCCCTGTAAGAAAAAGCTCTTCTCTTTGATAAGCAGTGATCAAATAAGTATTTTCACTTGCCAAACACCTTTTCCAGTGCTGAACAACAAGGAACACTTATCTCTGATCACCTGCTGATTGGAGATAAAAGTGTTCCCTCCATGACAGAGGGGGCAGGACTAGGTCACATAAATGCCCCACTAGTCTAGCAGTTCCTTATTCTTGCATTAGACTATGGTTTAGTGTTCATCCAGGTACAACTTCTAGGACAACCTAGTTGTACTAAAATCTGTTTAAATTAGTAAATCCAGTTCATTGTGAATAATGCTGTAGTCCTAAATACACTTAAAAGGTACTAAGTTCCACTGAACACAGGATTCCATTCCTATCATGGTTCAGATAGTGCTATAATTTTCTTTAAATCGAACAGTGCATTCTTTTCTCGACAAAATATGTGTGACAAACTTGCTTATGCTGTACTGATGTCAGAAAGCTGTTCTTTAGTTTGGAGCAGGATCAGTTTCATTAATGTTTAAGTATCTTGTGAAAGAACATGTTCACCTTTAGTGTAAAAATGTCTCTCATAAAAATGAAGATGGAAACCAATCCAGCCTTTTAGAGTTAAATCACTGGAGTCCTACTTCCCTTCTCGGCTGCCTTTGGCATTTAAAGTTCTGAAAAGGCTGAAACTTCATTCAGTATGTTGGTGCAATTCAGAATTGATAATTACTTCTAAAGACAAATGTGAAGGAAATTGATACAATTTGATTTAAGGGAGCTTTCTTGGCTGTCTTTCTCTATTAGGAGGAGAGCCAACACAGAATGATCGTAGATGATTTAAGTAGGGTTGGCTTGATAAGGTTATCTTGAACTGAAAAAAGATGACAGGGCAGTAGTGGACAACTTGGACCAAAGCTGTGCAATCAATTAAAAGTGTGTAATGTATGATGCGACAGGGAAACCCTTCACCCCCTGAAATATTAATCATTTTCTTGGGATGGGCTTTCTCCATGTAACACAGTAGGTTACAGTCGCAACACAAGCAGTGTTTCCCCACGAGGATATGTTCCAAGCAGTACTCCTCAGCAGTCCAACTACAACACCGTCAGCAATAGCATGAATGGATATGGCAATGCAGGCATGCCCAATCTCGGTGTACCTGGTTCCCCCGGATTTCTGAATGGCTCCTCAGCTAACTCCCCTTATGGCAGTAAGTGTTTGTTTCTGTTACATGTTTTCACTAAATATATATATATATGTATATATATATATATCTGTTTGTAATAAAATGTTACTTTGTTTTGATTTTCTACAATATGAGCTACTGGATAAAAGGAGGGGTGACTCTGGAGGCTGGACATTAAAAAAAAGAAAAGAAAAAGAACATGACAAATATATTGGCATATGCCAATTTCTTGATTAAAAGAGAAAAAAAATAACTACCAGATTGGACTGCTCAATTTGCGACTTAAGTCCAACACTAAAGAGTTTGCCTGTTATCCAGAGCGTGGCAAGCCAAAGCATTTTATTTTTCCATATATTTTCACTATTATAAGAGGCAAGGCCCTATCGATCTTTTTTTCTCCCTTCCATGTTTGCCATAAAAATCCACACTATGAGTCCTGATTATTTTTGCTTTATTACAGTAGTACCGTCAAGCCCTACCATGGCAGCCTCTTCGGTCACCCTCCCTTCAAACTGTAGCAGTACACACGGCATTTTCTCATTCTCACCTGCCAATGTCATCTCTGCAGTGAAACAAAAGAGCGCCTTTGCTCCTGTTGTCAGGCCCCAAGCTTCTCCTCCACCATCTTGCACCAGTGCAAATGGAAATGGACTTCAAGGTGAGCTGGATCTCTGTATCATTTTTTGTGTAATTGCAGATTTTTTCAGACAAAACAGAAAAACATTCAGCTTTGAATCGCAATAAGAAATAGTATTTTGTCACTGGTGAATAACAGAAGAGACCCCACCCCTTCACACACACAAATACTTAGATCTTTTTAAAAATTGGCATTGCATTGCAGTATAAGACTTTGATATCAAATGTAGCAGCACAAAATATAACCTGCAATTTTGCCTAATGCTTGTTAGACTTTAATGTTTGCATTAAAAGAAATAATAGCTATTTTCTAAGCATTTCTTCTTAAGGTTTCATTCATGAAATTTTAAACTGAACACACAGTCCAGAATGCCTTTCCACAGATTGGATGTATTTTTTGTATTTCTTTATACATTCCTGTTTTTTAATGGACGCATATTAATTAACAGCTTTTCAAGATGTGCTGGTTTCATAATGGTGTTATTATCTGATACCTGAAGAATCTTACAAAAATGTTTTAAGGTGTTCAGTGTTTTTGTTGTTCATCCTCAGATTCATTACTAGGTTTTGTGGTCTTACTGGAATGTATTCCAGTTAAACTGCTCATAAAAATTAGGATAAAGAACTATAAAATAGCGTGTGGAATCAATATAACCACTTGCTGTCATTGATACAAGATGTGAAAATTTATAGAGGGAGCAAAATCCAACTGCAAATATTCTTACTAAACGGATTGCTTTTCATTAAAAAAACACTACCTTACATTTTTGAAATGAGGTACAAACCTACCCCAGCTGAATCAAACTGAAATTCAGCTGCAAGGGATTCAAAACATACTCTGAATATTTAGCACTACATAGTTTTGGTGGAATGCAGCACAACTAGAACTGAAAGAAGTCTTGGATCACAAAAGCATATATTTATTTCATACAACAGAATAGTATGATCTCATGCAGTTTCTAAAGTGAAGGCTTTCAGGGTTTGGATATATTTAGACCTATAACAAATATAGAATATAACAAACATAAAATAATTGATAGGGCTAGAAAGGACTTTCCCTAAATCCAATATAATTTATCCCTATTAAATAAACTATTCCTTAGGGATTAAACACACACACCCCTCCATTTTAAAGTATTGATGGAAGTCTACAAACTGAATATTTTTCCAATTTAAAATATCAAGTCAGGCACAAAACCTGTGCTACTGGAAATATCTAGAAGTTCAGAATCATAGAACAGAAGAGTTGGAAGGGGCCAGAGTCCAACTCAGAGTTGAGTCCAACCCCCTGCTCAGTGCAGGACTCCAAGTTAAACTATCCCTCTCAGATGGCTGTCCAGTTGCCTCTGGAATGCTTCAAGTGTGAGAGAGGTCACAACCTCCCTAATTAATTGGTTCCATGGTCATATGGTTCTAACAGTCAGAAAGTTCTTCCTGATGTTTAGCCAGAACCTGGCTTCCTCATATTCTGTTATTCTGTGTCCTGCACTATGGGATGATCAGGAAGAGATCCTGGCCTTCCTCTTTGTGACAACCTTTCAGGTATTTATAGAGTGCTATCATATGTCTCCTCAGTCTTCTCTTCTTGAGGTTAAACATGTCCAGTTCTTTCAATATCTGAAAGAAAGAAGCAAATTGTCCATCCTGAACTAATCAGGTCAGAGGTTTCAGAAACAGACATAATGAGGTGACACATTCCTCATGTGGGCATATGTACTTCCTAGAGATTCATGTAGGAAGGCATTCATCTGGAAATAGGCCCATTTGAAAATCACCAGAATACACATACATGCATTCATACATATACCTCATTAGAGACAAATGATTTTGTCTCTAATGACTTACATTTCTTTTTGATGTGATACATGTTTACATGTAAACAACTGTTGCACATTGACATTTCAGTGCGAACATGTATAATTCCGGTATGAGTATTGTGAATCTAATAGTTGATTTGTGTTGTGTTGTTTACTGTACTGCATGAAATTAGTATATGCATGTGGTACTGGCTGATGAACATTTTAGAGCACAGAGCATACATTTAGAAATTAATAAACTTATGCAAAAGCATAGTGTGACCAAGTGGATTCATAAGTGGATTATACTGTAAACCACACAAAGAGCTCCAACTGTTGGGCAGTATGGCAGTTAAATAAAAACAACAGCAATAATAATACAGAAACTCTTATCAAATGGAGGTGAAGTTCTAAAAATCGTGATAAATCAGCAAGTTGGAAACATTTGCTTCAAGCACATTTAGTTATTTTGATAATTCTACTCTTAAAATATCTCCTGAGACTAGCTTCAGGGGAGAACCTTTTAAAACAAGAAATTTATCTGATAGTAAAGCAACAACATGATTTTCTTGGGTGTGTGAAAGAAACAGAGTGAACAGAACAACTTGAAAAGGGAAAACTGGATTTTCCGTTATGGGCTCCAAATGTATACTAGGAGGCTTCCACCTCCATTTTATTCTTTTGGAGCTTGTAATGGTATAAACAAGTCTGAAGGTCTAAAATGCTAGTTTAGAGAATATACAAACTTATTTTGTTCTATCACACTGCCAGATTAATAATAAAAACAATAAAATGTTTGCAATAGTATTTTTAAAGCTTATATAAATTTGGTAAAAAGTGCAAATAAAAGAAAGGCAGGAAAGACATCATACTTTATCCTTTTAATTAATAAATTAGTATCAGAGCAAAATGAAAAAAAAAATCAATGAATGCTGGTTTCTTCTAGATAGATTTTAAAACCCAAAGTCTATTCCTAACACATTAAACGTTCCCTCAAAATTACTGTGTACTTCAAAAAATAAGACAATATTCAAAATATAACAATCATACTCTAAAGTTTATCAAATAACTCTCACAAATCTTAGGTTGTTTTAAGATCTAAGAGATATAATAACTGCACTGAAACCTTACATCTTTCTACTCAGAAGTAAAATATATTGCCTTCCATGAGGCTAATCTCTAGGTAAGGGTATACAGGATTACAGCAAAATGTAAAGCATCCCAACTTAAGGCAAGACAAACATACCATGCACAATAAATTAATTGACCTTCATAAACACACAAATTCATTTAACTCATATGGTCCCAATTATAGCATAGCATACACAGAGAACAGGAGAAATACAATATACCAAAGGAACAGGTTGGTAAAAGGGAGCTGTTGACATATGGATATTTATCATCTGGATACAAATCAAGCAAGTTTGAAGCCACATATCACCTCATATTACATTGAGCATAGTGGTCATCTGTGAAATCAGTTCAAACCCCAAAACTGCTTGCAGTCAAGGCTGCATGCATGCAGGGCTGAAACAGCCCAGAGAGTAAGCCTGGTTTGTATGTAATGCTAAACTTGATTAACCATTACAATGCACAAGCTTCAGGCTTGACTGCTCTCTACACCTCTTCTTCTGACCCAGGGCTGGATTCTGATTTCAATTAACATTGTTTCTTTTTATGCTTGAACCAGGACATAAGGCAATTGTTAACTATAATTTATTTAAACAAAACAGGTTAATTAACCATGGTTGGAAGTTGGCCTATTTCAAAAAGTACAATACATTTCGTCTGGGCTTGGACATTACAATTAAGCACAGAACCAAAAGTTTTCAGTCTTTCTGAAAGTGAGGCTTAAGCATGTTACTGAACAACAATAGTTTAGTGTTGCATGTGAACACAGCCATGATATCCTGTGCAAATTTCAGATAAAGCAAATGCTGGCATTTTAACAATCATCAACAAAAGTTAGCTTGTTTTGTGCTTTCAACCCTGAATAGCAGCTCAACACTGCTAAAAGAGAGGAGCCAACTCAATCAGAGGACTACAATACACACCTAGAATCATGCCCCAACATGGAGCCCAAGTAATCTTTTGGATCAGAAACCAGTGAAATTGCACTCCCAGAGACAGTGTACCCTGAAAACCAGTACACCTTTCACCAGGGCTTGATGTTCTCCATAGCTTCTCATCTGCACATACATTGCACAAGGTGGAGGGGGCAACTGAGAAAGGATGAAGTAATAGCAATAGCCTTCTTCAGGCCAGAGAACTATCTTTAAAGTTCTCCACTAAAGTTCTCCTGAAAAGGCAGGATACAAGGCCTCATTTTGGCTGTATACCTTACCAAATCAATGCTGTCTTGGGTCCTGTGGCTCCAGCTTGACCTAACACTCTCTCAATCAATGGCTGGGCAAGAGACTAACACAGACACTCCTTTGGATATGGTTGGTCTGCCACCCAAGGTTTTCCCCTTGCTTCACTGCTTCTGTCACAACACCATAAGCAACAAACCTGTAAACCATTCTTGCCTCAAGAATGATGTTTCCCTTTTTTGATGCTTCACTGCAAAAGTTTCTGACCTCACTGCTTCATTGTTTTAAGATACAGGAGGAAGAGTGGAGGGAGCAAGTTTCAGTGATGTGCTCAGAGGATTAAGGGTTCTCCTTCATGGTCTCTGTGCACCACACATATGAGCTGTGCATGCATGCATGGGACTCATTTGGGAAGTTTTCAAAGCTGATTAGTAATTGATGGGAGCTCAGCCCCTAGGCATGCCCAACATGTGGGAAGCAGCTCCCACCGAGACCTCATTTCTTCTTTGATGGCCATCATAAACACATCAAGAAGTTCTTCCTCTGATCTCTTGTTTTTTATCCACAGTCATCTCCTGATTGCTCATCATCTCCACATTCTTCACTCATCTCTTCAAGCTTCTCTTAGAAAAAAGAAAAAAATTACTTTTCCCACTTTATCCTTTTCTCCATGACCCTCCGCTTTGCCTCTTGCCCTTTGCTCATCATGATGGTGCTTAAGGCTCCATTTCACAACCATGCCCAGTGTGGCAGCAGACTGCCCCTGCCAACAGCCACTTGCTCTGACTGTTTTGTCTCAGTGAGACTCACGTTGGTGACTCCTGCTGCCCCAGTCAGGCCTTCACCAAACAAGTCAGAAAGCATCAAGTTGACCGCCTCAAAGCTGAACTCCAGAGCAGAGCCCTACATGGGGGTAACTCCCCTCAGCCATCCACTTCAGGATCAGCAGCATACACCCCTCTGCCAGACACCTCTGTTGCTGCCCAGACTGACCTAAGCCCTGTAAAAAAGCTAAAGCTTAAAAAACTGCTGAAAAAGGCAAAAACATACAGTTTGGCAACATATCAAAAAGCTGGCAAATGCTTCAAAAGACACTGTGACATTCCACCCCCTACTGACCTCCCATATAGTAGAGACATGGCACCAGAAGCAGACCCACCTATTTGTTCTCTCTGGTCCTGACACTGGTCCTCAAGCTCCTGAATCAGTCCTTCCAACCAGCACCAAGCACGTCCTTCTTGGGGCAAGATCCAAGACCATTCTCCCAAATATGCCAACTCACCCTGGGTCCAAGGCATGATGACCAATCTTCACCTATTCAGATTATGCACCAACCTCCTGAACCTGATATATGCCATTACAGATCCCACTCACTGAAAGAGAGAGTGAACCTCACTGGCCTACCCCACCTTGCAGAAGGGATTATGAGGCTGATTTCTGTAAGGAATGCTGGACATCATTTGAATCCAGATATGACTGACCATGTTGGAGCCTGACTAGATATGGCAGTTTCTCCACCCACACAGATTCCTCAGCTCATGAACCACTGCCTGACCCATCATGGGAGCCAAGACATACAATGGCTCAATATTCACATTTTCCACTCCAGACTACCAAGATCAAACTCTGATCATATTCATGTGACTCTACCTAGTCCTACACACTCAGATTTGGAACCAAATACCTCAACTTCTGATTCTTCTTCTTCCCAACTCTCCAATTGCCCAACTCCAATTGCCTTCTTCTTCCCAACTCTTCCCAACTCTCCAATCTGGGTTGACTCAACAATCATTCAACCTTCTGCATGTCCTTGAAGACATTTTTCTAATCAAGTTCTCAGAATGGCGCACAATCTCAGGCTCAACCTTCACTGAGATTCAGGCATGGTAAAAGACCTGGTCTTTGAGGCAATCTATGCAGACAGCACAGGACCAGTCACTATACCTCTGCCACCAACCTTACTTGATGCCATCTACCAGGAATGGAAATCTCCCATGCCTGTGGGCCCATCTCCTTACAGTCTCGAGAATATGTAAAGCGATGCTGAATTCCTTTTCCAACTTCTGTGTCTAAATTCAGTTATAGAAACATAGAAACAGAGTGAGTCAGAAGGGGTCTCCTGGGCCATCCAGTCTGACCTCTGGCACCAGCCAGCTCCGCTCACGACATGCCCACCATATGGACGTCCAGCCTATCCTTGAACACCCACACCGATGGGGCCTCAACGACCTCTTGTGGAAGCCCATTCCACACCTTCGGGGTCCTGACTGTCAGGAAGTGCTTCCTGGCATCCAAATGGAACTTTGGCTCCCTGAGCTTTGCTCCATTGGAGCGTGTCCTGCCTTCCTCTGCAGGGGAGAACAGGTCTCTACCC